CTTGAAACTTTGGATCTTTAGAAAAAGGGCCGAGATGGAATTCCATGCGAGTTTGGGGGGCGTACATCACGCGGCCCAGCAGCAGGCGATAATTGATGGCTCCACGCGGTATAGCGGCACATCCCACCTCAGTCGCACTTGACTTGCTGAGGGTCAATTTATCTATTGTGTACAGATTCTCTACTAACCACCAGTAAGTTCAAGCTTCTAGGGAAGCTTCGTTAATGGAGGTACCGTTAGGGACCTTGAGAATATGAGGAACAGCACAAGGTGTTCCTAGGGGCCTTGCCAAAAGCAAAATCTATGTAGGGATTTTGAGAAACTCTTATTTCGCTAAAAACAAATCAAGCTCATGTCTTCTGGGTCTACTACTTGAAGGTCTCCAAAAAAGAAAACTGCTCCTAGTCACCAGACGAACCTTTTGTTTCTACCTGAAGGCCTTGGGTATGAATGCCATTGTAAAAAAATGATAATGTCCGTAATTTCGCATCCCAAAAGGACCAGGGACCTCTAGATCAACCCTCATATACCCCGTATTCCTGTAAACCAGTATAGAAATTCAGTTTCGCCATACTATTTGCCATCTGAGTCTCCAAACCCCAAACCCTAAACAGTAGTTTGCAATCTCTGTTCCAGTAGTACTAGATAACCCTAAACCCTAAGTAACCCATTTCTACCCCCAAATTTCATCCAGGAACAGAAGCCCCAAGGCCCAGGTCCACAGAGACCGACGGCCTGGCCATGACTTAAATTAAACCCTGGTGTAGGGTTTAGGGTTTGGGATTTAGGGTGTGGGGTTTAGGGGTTAAGGCTTTCAGTGTTGGGGTCTCGGGTTTAGGGTTTGGGGCTTAGGGTTTGGAGTTTTGGACAGCCCGCCCCCTGTAATAGTGACTATAAGGGATAATAACGACTATACTACACCACGATTACAGGGTGGGGGATTCTCCTAACCTAAGCCCTATACCCTAAGTTTGCGGTCAAGGGTCATTCCCCCGACAATTACAGTTGCCACAATGGGTAATAGCCCCTTAGGACAGTCACTGGGAGGGGGAATGACCCGTGTACGGTTTGCTCCTAGAATACTGAAAAGTGTTCTGGGGGTCCTTATGAAGGGTAATAGGAACTCCCAAAAGATACGAAACCCCTGGCCTAAATCCGAAACCTTCAGCCCATCTGGGAGTTCATACCCCAATCTGCTCTTTGCTGCATATTTGGTGCCCACGGAAAGGAGGCCCTAATGCTCGAAACCCCAGTTTGAATACGAGCTTGTAGGCATGCCTAGTCCCCAAACCCCGCCCCCTTAGCGCAAAATCCAAAATTCCAATCTGCTATGAGCCGTCCACTCTAATTCTAAGCCAAATGCCTAGATCCAAGGCCTCTACTTCCTGGTTGCTAGTAGGAAATCAGGAGATATAATCCCTCTATAATCCGTATATGATCTGTTTCCATATTCCCTACTGACCCCAGTAGGTAAATCCATCTCTGAATCCCATTTCCCAGACTCCCAAATCCCTTCCTGAGGCTCTGATGGCAGAGGTGGTGTCGCGGGGATCTGACAGAAAGCGCTTCGACTGGAGCTCGCTGAGTGCTCGCCTTGGGGAAAGCCATATAGGGCTTCATAAGGGTTAAGGGTTGTATAGGATTACAAGGGAATATAGGGACACATAGAGGTTATCTAGCTATGTAGGGATTATGTAAGCTACAGGGGAATACTGGAGAAGAAAATGCAAAGACCTATTTAGGGTTTAGCCGCTCAAGGGTAATGGCAGAGGGATGCACAAAAACCGGCGATGATCCACGCCAATTTGATGGGGATGTTTTGCTTGCCAAGGCAAGTTTCCCAGGATACAATGAGCCTCATAAAGTATTTTCCCAACCCCTTGGCTCGAAGCATGCGGGGCAGACAGGTACCTCATCAAGTATGGAGCTTATGGCATTGTGTGTGAAATTGTTGGGATTACCATGGCCGAAAAGAATAGTATAGGACCTGGCTCCGGGCTTTGGTTTAATTCAACGTAAGTACTGGGTTCAGTGTCAGGCCGGAATATGACAGTTTGTATACATGTATAACAGACTTGTCTGAAATCTATAACTTACCTGCTGTCTAGGTCCCTGAAAGGTGTACTACCCTAAGCTCTAAACCCTATATACGTCTTGTATGATTTCCAGGAATTCTTCAGGCTCCCCAAATTGAGCGTCACTTTGTATCTTATGATGGCCACGACATAGTGTGGGGTAGAGTCGAGGCATACCAGATTTGTCATTCGGGTTTGGAGCCTAAAGCTTTGAAAGCTCTGGTGGGATTTCGTAAAAGTCAGGGTGAAACATGCGCGGGGTAGAATTGAACCTCACAAGCTATGGCGGCAAGGCGTTCTATGAGAATCATTCGGAAGCTTGGGATACGGCCCCCATTTAGCCTCTGAGTAAGGACAAACTTATGTACAGGAGGTGAATCACCCAGATAGGATTTTTGAGGGCTACATGGGGCTACGGCAGCTATGTATGGGGTGTGTTTGGCAAAGAACTCCCTTCCTGCAAGTGCCTGAGACCTCTGAGACGTGGGAGGCTTGAACACGATGGTTTATAATCCCCCTTAATTAGATGGAAAATGAGGATTTTTTGATCGTATTATGATACTGCACGGACAATTCCATATTCTATCTATTTAATGGAGACTATAGCTCTTTACATGTTGGAGCAGCGGCCTGAGTGTACACATTCTCCGACAATCCAGCAACAATACCACCTGCGGCACGAAAAAAACTGAGCATGATCAATGTGGTGTACAGATTCCCAAAGCTGAAAGGCCGCAGAAGGTATATCCCAACAGAAAGTACACTTTCGCAAAATGTGTACTCCCAAAGCCACGTAATCCTACAGCATGACAGCCTCAAACTGTACAACGTGAGAGCCTGGAATGGAAATGTCGAAGGTAAACGGTAGTTTCCTTAAAACACGGAATCTCAATATAGACCCCAAAACACCATAGTCCTGTTTAAAGGAACTCAGAAAAAGGTACCCCTAATTCTGGGAAACCCCCAAACAAGGTCAAGCAACGCAACGGCATCGGCATCCTCCTCCTCTTACACTCCCGGAAACTAACCAGAGCTATAGTCTAAACTCCTTACAGGGGGATTATATAGGGGATTATATAGGGGACTACCATGGGGGTTATTAAGGGGGATACTAGGGGTTTAGATGAAACCTTAAAAAAACGTTTAGGGGTCAGGGTTTAGGGTTTCTCTAAAAAAACTATACGGGGTTCCATGTTAGTTTGAGGGAGTGTGACTCATAAAGAGTTGTCAGCATAGATCATCATCCAAGGACTACGTCGGCGTCCGCAGGTCTTCGGTTCCTTCTGTATGGGCTATTCTCAAAACTATGGGCCCCTATTGGTTATTTGAGTTATTTGGGGTACTTGGTAGTTTCCCAAAATAAGGGAACCCCAATATAGACCCCCAAATACTATAATCCTTATCAAGGGGAAGCCTGAAAAGGTACCCCTAATTTTGGGAAACCCCAACTTAATTTTGGTACTACCGTATACCCTAAACCCTAAACCCTAGATTTCGGTCATCGCGCAGTTGGGGCGAGGGATTTGAGAGCCCAAGGCCCTCAGGTCTGGAACCATCCCCGAGATCCCTCAAGAAACTCAAGCATCTTACTTGGGCTTAGGTAGGAAAAAGGGAATAGATTATATGGGAATATACAGGGAATACATAGGGGTTATATTCCCTTCTTCCCTACTAAGACCCAGTAAGGCATGCATGAGGTTGGGTTGGCGTCTGCTACCATTTACATCCCAGACGACTCTTTCGCAATGAGCCAGCATCTTTCAATAGCCAACAGCTTACTGATTCTGTGGGGAATAAAGGAAGATAACCCCTGTATAATGCCTATGTAATCTATTCCCATATTCCCTACTAACCCCCAGTGAGCCAATTTGGCAACTATTTCTGGCATCACGTGCGCAATTTGACCAAGGCAGTCGGGTGAAGAATGGCAATCAAAGGAGCCGCGCACGCTGTGTGAAACAAATGTTGACATCTCTGTGTCTTGCTACGCGCTTTAAAACCGCCGAAGCTAAAACAAGCACGACGTGCACTGGTAACCCACTGCAAGCACAGGGAAATCTGGAACAAGGTTTAGGATCAACAAGCAAGACCGTTGTGCGAGAATTCTGGAAAAGCTGCTTACTTCTATCCCTGTCCCCACATCACACATCCGTTGCAGCGTTCAGGGGCACCAAGTTGGAGGAGCAGGGTCTGGATCGCTCTTCCAGCCAGGCACATAGTACCTTTCATAATGTACTGTAGAAGTCTGATTCGTCACCAATATTGTTCCGGAACAAGTATCATATAGTTGTGGTATACTGTAGCACACCCTGGTTGAACATGCCCCTACAGTAGACGTTCTATCTGTAGTGGGTCCTATATAAGACCAACACCCAAGAAACCAATACCATTTTGAAACAGGAATAATGCAATGTTTCGCCGCATCTGGTGCATCGCAGAAACTGCACTTTTTGGAGGACTTGGAGAGGAGTCTGCACTGTTTGACGGAAGTGTTGAACGCTGTTTGTGATTGTTTGATACCCCTCTACAAGGCAATCTTTTGTGAGGGCGATGTGCTTGGGGTACTGGTCCAATGTTTTTAGTTACTGAAAACATTTAGTCTCAAGATTCCTGAAGGTTTCCCAAAATCAGGGGTACCTATTTTGGGGATCCCCATTATAAGGACTATAGAAGATTGGGGTCTATATTGGGGTCCCCTTATTGTGGGAAACTACCTCCTGGCCCTCGATTCCAAAAAGACCCTAGGCCCCACAAACCAGAGCTCAAGTTCACCTGTCCTAGTAGTATCCCCTTTCATAATCCCCTTATAGCAGTCCTCTCTAGAATCCCCTATATAGCCCCCTTTATGTCGTTCAGACTATAGCCCATGTCATCTGACGAACGGCGATTGGGCTTTGCTTCCCTAGATGATTTTTGCACTAAACCCTAAACCCTAAACCGAGGTACGCACACAGCCTCCAAGGCCGCAAAGGCCCCAACCTGAACCCGCACGTTTCGCATGCAAGCCTCACCTGCAAGGAAGGGATCCAAAGGTTCGGAGGCTTTGGGAAGCCTGAGCTCTAGATTCAATGGTCCCCTGCGCCATCCTGCGCCCTAAGGAAGAGTCGGGCGATTTTGTTTTCAAACTTGCTCAATAGCGGATTCAATAGCGTAGTAGCTTCAATTTTGTTTTCCATTTGAATCTCCACTGTTGGGGAACAATCCCTGTACCCTCTACTATCCATGTTTACCCCCCATATAACCCTACATAATGGTAACTTTGTGCTCTGAACCAGGGCATTATGATGCAAGCCACACCTGCTTCAGAGCCTTTGAGCTGAGCGAAATCATCCGGGATCACAACTGCAAAGTTCAGGAAACTAAGCCATCCCCACATGAGCAAGAGGAGGCATGACTTGACAGAATGTCCCATCATATAGACGGCCAGGAGAAAGGTGGTTCCCAAGGCACCTGACGTGCGGCCCATGGCCTTGAACCACACAAGTTGATCGGCGTCTGTTTTTGCATGGGCTGCAAACGGATCCGCCATGCAGTCTGCTGATGCGATTGGTGCCACCATGCCCAAGACAGTGGTAAGGCTTCCAAAGATGATAATAAACCCATAGATTGCAACGGACACTTTGCCGTAGCAAGTTGATTGCCCCTGAAACTCGCGCAGCAACGACGGCATGGCTGAATCAGCTGATCTTAGCCGACTTTCGTTTGGGAGAAGACAGCTGGTACACCGGGATGCATTCACAGCGAGCCCCTTGATGAAACCACTCATGGCTAGCTTAGCTGCCGAAAAAGACTCCATCACCCATCACTGCGCCAAACAAACCCTCAAGCCTACACCTTAAACTCCAAACCCGAGCCCTGTTGCCCCAACTCCCAAGGACCCTATACCACTAAACCCTATATATTCCCCTTCCTCTATATATCTACATATATATTTACATCCTCATATTATACCCTTCTTACTCCTGGGTCCTCCAGGAGCTGTAGAAGCCGCCACGGCCTCTTTACCATCCCAGCCCAGCATGCCTTTCAGCTCCAGGTCCTACGGTGGATGGCGAAAATCTTGCACCACTTGGGGTTTAGGGTTTAGGGGTTTAGGGTTCAGGACCCCTTAAATACTGTAACTGTTGGGGCATAGGGTATGTTAGATGGTGCAAGATTTCCTCCACCCACAATAGGTCCTTAAGAATAGGGTGGCTTCAGGGTTCCTTAAGAGGGTAATAGGGATATGTAGGGTTTGGGGCTCCCAGTTCTAGTGGGGCTACACGGATATAGGGTTTGAGGCCTAGGGAAATTCAACTGGAACAGTAAAGCGGATTGAAATGGCAACTGCGTTTATATAAGGCTTTATACGGTTTGAACGTAGGTTATCAGAACAGGGCTTCTCAAGCTCTGAACTCAGGGGAAGTGGATGCATGCCCTGTAAACTGTCGTTAGGAACTTGTGGGCGCTGGTTATGGAAATCACCTTAAGCCCTGAAGAGTTTACATCGAACCCTAGAATATACCCACACCCTGAGCCCTAAACACCCCAAGCGCTAAGCCCTAAACCTCACCCTACACCCCAAACCCTAAGCCATAAACCCAAAACCCCAGCTTTCCAGCCTCCGGCTGAAGAAAACAAACTTGGCGTTAAGCTGCTTTCTGGTTCCTGACAGGGTTACTTCCTGCAAAACTACTTAAAAACATATCTTCTTTCACACCTTGATTCAAACATATGCTTCAATTCTGACCCGGTGTTGGGTCCAAGGTTCCAGGGTGCTTTTGCAGCTACTGCCAGGTTTTCAGTACTTTGCGCTTTCAGACACGTTTCGTCTTTTGCGCCTGAAGCCTTGAGGGGCCTGAAAGCAAGGACTTTTGGGTCTAGGGTTGAAAAGTGTTGATATTTTGGGTTGGGGCTTAGTGCTTTCAGCCATTGAGATTGGCTAGGGGTCCCGCACTTAGATCTGCAACCGGTCTTCATGTAGGTTGGCTGGGGAACACGTTTTCAAGCCACAATCCCAGGAGCACATGAGAAGAGACACCTTGTCCGTTGTTTTGCGGCAATGCATGGCAAACCATATGAGCAGTGCTTAGGCAAGCGCAATCTTACTTTTTCAATGGGAGCCAATACATACAGGACTCCTTCTCCAAGTTAGGCATCAAATATGGCAAGCCTGCACAAGTATGAGGGCGGCCCTCTGCAAATCTTTCTCAAAAAGACTAAAAGAGACCTTGAGCAATCTCTAGCAGCCATATGAAGACCGGGCTGGCAGAATATTCTGCATCGGTCCCTTGAGGGTAGTGGAGTGTGCGGGAGAGTGCCTGTAGCCGCTCTTGCTGTGCAAGCAGCCGGACATTTCAGCAGCAGCGGCCGCGTGGCATGGAAATTCACTACAGAACAAGGCTGAAAAGATCCCTTGAGAAACAGAATCATACTTGAAAATAATCAGCCTACACATATGCTTGAACATGCCCCTGGGCTAGGCTAGAATATCCCTGCTTGAATATCTTGACCATGTCCCAGGCGACGCACCCATGTATACTTAGGATTCTGCTGCCCGCGTGCTTGGCTGCATTGTCCCAGAAAACATACCTGCTCATTGGAACAACACGGAAAATTGCTGCCTCAGATGGGGTTTGCAAAGGATCGGCCACATCCTTTTCTCTCAGTCCCTGAAGTCCCGATAGGCAAGGGCCTGCCTGCCCTCCCCACCAACCTTGAAGGCCCACGAATGAAGCATGAATCTACGAAAGGTTTGCTGCCTGAGGCTTAACGACGATTACAGGAAAGCTTGGCAATGTGTACCTTCGGTTGCGCATGTTTTGTTTGAGGCGGTCCATAGCATGGCACGACCGAAGGCTCAAGCAATCAACCTGCAGAGCGCAATCGCAATCCCAAATAAGCAAACCAGCAAGAAAACTCTGGACCCTTACGCCTCATAACTGGAACACTTATATAAATCATACGCCCTAACCACAACATGGCTTGAGTGTCTTCCTACCTATAGATCATGAGCCGTACTGCCATATAACCTTGAATGCTTTCCTACCTGGCAATTCTCATGGGTTCCCCTAGTACCACCTATGAAGGTTAATTTGGGGGAAACCTGGGGGGGGGGTAGTATAGAGAGGGGTACTACCCTAAACCCTAAACCAGAGGAACCCATGAAATTCTCAAGCTCTTGGGTACAGGCGTGTCTCCTGTGACAGAGCTGAAGAAGTAGAGCTGCCTCGGCGGTTGGGTCCCGGGCGTGGGGTTCAGGGTCTAGGGTGGATAAAAGTATCCATTGGGGTAATGTTGGGTTATATTGGGATTATGGAAAACAAAATGGAAACTACTATTTAGGGTTTACGGTTCAGGGTTAAGGACTCAGAGTTGCGGATGATGTAGGGGCTGCCATAGGGATCCGACCAGAGCTTGGGGTTTTGGATATAGAGTGCAGGCTTCAGCAACTTGGGATGTAGGGCTTGACTCCCCCTGGCCTGGAACCCAAAGAAGCTTCAGGAGATTAGGGTTTATAGTCCCCCTTAAGTAGATAGAATATGGTGTGTATGGGGATCTTAATATAATATACCCAAAGCCATATTCTATCTACTTAAGGGGGATTATAGGGTACTCAAGTGAACATGAACCACCCTGAAAGTCCAACATAACTCCTTTGATGCTGTAGAGAGTCCCGAGTCCGGGCATTTATTTTGGCCTCATCCTGTCATCCCACGACCAAGCCGCAGGCTCTACCCTGAACTGCCGCAGGTCGCGAGTTAATGATAAAAAAGTACGGACTATACGGATTATGAGGATTATATAGAGGTTTTCTAGGGATTATATAGGGATTATCTAGGGATTATATGGGGACCATAAGGGACAAACTAGTAAAAAACAAACTATATGAACATTTTAGCATTGCTATTGCGACCGCGGCTGACATAATCTAACAATACCGGTCTTCTTACCTTCGGTTGCTGCATGATATTAGGCTCCTTTTTCTGGAAAGGTCACACGAGGACAGAACCCCCATAGAAGCAGGCCAAGATACCCTCCCAAAAAACTATCCTAACAAGACCTTCTGTCCTTCCGAAACAATGACTACCAAGCACGGCTCATACTCCTATATAATTCCAAGTAGGGACCCTGATATTCACGGCATAATCCCTACATATCCCAGGATTTTAAAGGACCCCCCTACTTTGAGAAACTCCCAGATGGCCGGATAAGCGTCTGGCCCCTTGTAACCTTCTTCCTGGGACCTTGCAGGAGCGGCTGCTAAGGCTCTTATGTTTGATCCCATTCCAACCATAAACCCTAAATCCTAAACTGCCTTTATTGAGTACACCCCAGGTCTTTTGGAGAGCCAGAAAGCTTCGAAATGAGTGTATAGGAAGCATCCAAAACCACGAAGAATACTTGGGATCTAGGATTTAGGGTTTAGGGCTTAGGAATCTCGATCCCTCTTGGCTCCAGTTTAAGACTTACCCTAAGTACGCTTGTCCCATGTCCGTGTACCTGGGATTGGTCTCTCAGGATGTAGACTGTGGAGGGCAACCCGCGCGGCGCAAAGGAGCATCAGCTCCAGCTGGATTCTTGTTTCATGTAGACCCATGATTAATAAACCGAAGGATCCCTATTATAATCGCGATTAAGGGGAGGGGGTTCATGATCACGGGTCTGGGTTAGGGTTTAGGTTTCTACATGTTTTGTTTGCCTTGTCAGGTAGTATTATTGTGAATGAGTACAAGCTCCAGGCACGGGCCCTCCCTCTTGAGACCCTTGAAGTCAAGACAGGAATCCTCCCCGAAGGGTGACTCCTACTGATGCATCTTGGCTGCGATATGCAACCAACAAGCATAAACTGGAGAAGGTATCTGCTAAAGGATTCTAAGACTGAGTAAAGCATCCAGGGATTTATATTGGGGCTGCTCATTGGTGGAAACCCGCACATAACTGATTCAGCGCCCTCACAGGCAAGTTGCCCACATAAGCTAGAGTCTAAACTCTAGTATCCCCCTGAATAAGCCCTGTAATACTCCCCTATATAGTCCCCTATATAACTCCGTTTAAGGAGTTTAGACTATGGCCCACATAAGAGAGCTATAAACCATAGGGGTTCCTTATAGATAGCATGCAGCTTCCTACCCAGGTTGCGGTTCAAGGTGCTGTTGCTGTCTGGAGTCGTGGCTGATCTAATGTCTTATAATCTTATGCCTTAAAAAATCATCAAGACCCTAGCAACCCCAGAATCCCTCGAATCCTCCAAGATGTGGGATGTCGTGTACAGTTCAGTTGCCGAGGAAGGAAAACGACTAATATTTGGCCAACAACTTGAGTATTTCACAAGTTCGTGCATCTGGGAATTGCTCTTGCGATGCGTCAGGACTCTTTTCCTGGCAGAGATACCGACGTGATCCAGCGACATCGGGCAAGACTGGTGTGCCATGAGCCAGCAGCAAGAAGGCCCATGAACTGAGCTTATTCGCAAGGACGCTTAAAGTTCCTGTAGGCATTCGTCAAATTTTAGGTGCATGTCCTGCTACCCGCTTCGGGCAGCCTACCTTGAGGAAGTGGAAACTACAGACGCAAAAGCCACGGTTCCCAGACTTCTCTTGCAAAAAGGGCCAGAACAACACAACAAATGGGCGAGGCCCTCAGGGGCTGACATCGGATTGGCGGGCGGTGGGTGATGAATAGTTTTTC